GTTAGTATGTTTGTGCCTCTAAATCATACATGTTGTAAGGGTTATTAAGGGTGGATGAGTCAGATCTAATTGCATCTCTGACTTACCCATTCCAGCCTCTACTCAGGAAACATCTGGCCTCATACAGTAGCACCAAACACATAAGAATGAGTAGACAGAGGTTGTATATAATCTGTGTTGGTGCCATACATCCACTTCCCTACATCCAGTCAGAAAAAAAAAAAAGTGAAGGTCATTAATGATGTTGGTCCAGATGTTGGTGTGTGTTCTAAAATATAGAATCCAGTGGTCAGTTGCACCAGCTGAACCTAATTTTGATTGTAAGTCAGGGTATAAGGTCAATCCTAAACCAGCTAGACAGGGTGTAGAGTTTCAGTTGCACCACAGATGTGATCTAAAATCTAAACCTTGTTGCACAGAGTGACGTATTTTGTCATCTCCAGCCAGTCAGTAACAGGATCTGACATAAACAGGAAATAGTAAATTCATGATTCAGATCGAAAGATTTTTTTTTTCTGTGTTATATTTACCTCTAGGTAGCTATATTTTAACCTAAGATAGATGACCAAAATCAAAAAAGCATTATGCGCTCCTGTAAAGTGGTGAATTGTATTTTATACTGGCGTATGCTTGTTCTGTTCTGCTGTTAGGCTCTCATGCAACAACTTTAACAGCATTTTAGTAACAAACCCTAAAATAACAAACACCTGCAGGCTTATCTGCATTTTATATTCTGAACAACAGTATAATATTATATTTTATTAGTATTACAGCATTTTAAACTTTTCAAATACTATGGCGAGGTACACTCCAATGTATACTACAGTGCCAATATTTTAATTTAATAGGAATTAGATGTAAATTTTAAGTTATACTTTAAGAGTGTGTGGAAGCAATGTCAGTTGGTGCAACAATGAATTTTTTTAGTTCATAAACAGCAACGTATTGGCCATTTATGTTCAAACTAGGCTATGATAGATTAATGGGATGTGAATAACAGTGCTTTTTTTTTTTTTTTTTTTTTTTTTTTTTTTTTTTTTTTTTTTTTTTTTTTTTTTTTTTTTTTTTTTTTTTTTTTTTTTTTTTTTTTTACTTCCGCCGGTTACCACCCCCTTTGATGTTGACGTCACACTGAACACTTTTCCACCTTAACCACTGAGTACACATCCTTTAGTGCTTAGCTGTCAAGGCATGTTTCACTCAAATGCCCAATCTTTGTTAAAGGATAAACTCAGTGTGGGTTTTTTAGTTTATTATTCATCAAGCTGATCCTTTGGATTGTTTTGATTTGTGGCCATTCTTCGAAGGGAGCTGAGTTAGAAACGCTCAGCTTTCCGACTACATTCTTAAAGCATGGTGACATTTGCAAATAGTCGGCCTTACCTGTCTCAAATAAAGGTCAGCTTTGTCCTTTTCCTAAAAGTACATTCCGGGGAGTTTCCTTCAGGAGAATAGAAAGCCGAGAGCCTTTTTATTTCATCTAGTGACAAAGTTGGTCAAATTCATGAATTATGCTGTGTGCTGTGGTCATCTTAATGAGGATGTCTTGTTTGTTAGACAACACCATCTATGGAAAGGTCTTAGCGCTTTGATTTATTTGCCCTCTCTCACTTCTTCCATTCTATCTTCATTTCATCTTTTTCTAAACCTGATTTGACAGATAATATATGAATGAGATTTAACTGAAAGTCACAGTGGGACCTACTGTTACTTACATACTGTTACATGGTTTTACATGTCCACATATCCACAGTTTACAGAAAAATGTTACTTAAAAGTTAATTAACACATAAATTGTATTTGGTCATTTTTCAGTACATAGTAAATACATTCAGCAGTTTTTTTTTTTTCAGGTATGTTCACATCCTGCAACAGTGGAGCTTTTTCAGCTAGGCACGAGGAGTAGATTAAGATTAGAGCCCTTGTTAACCAATGGTGCATAGGCACAAATCTGCGTATGGACGTTTCAACACAAAGTCCATCAATCCTATGTATTTCTAGTTTTTCAACACAAAATGTGGGATTCATCAAAACAAACAAATACAAAGCACAAGTGGAAGCAGAAGCCACAAGAGTAATGCGGCTATAAAGTCTGCTACTGCTACTTTTTCTTTTCTTTTTTCAATTTCACACAAAATTGGCCATCAGTTGTTTATGTGGTAGGGTTAGAGGCCTAGCTATTGCCAGAGCCACAACTGGTGTCAAGCTAACTTGTGACATATATTTGTCAATCTTAGACATTAGGAATATTATATTAAAAATAACATAAGCACAAACATATTAAACAGCACGATGTAGCCATCAAAATCTGTTTCTTCTTCAAAATAAAGTTGCAGAATAGAATACATTTCTCCATGCCACTAGCAAAAGAATGTCAAAGTCAATAAAAGAGATGTTTGCACACCATATATGGTTAATTGTGGGTGTGTCTGTATTTAAATAAGCAGTGACATGCACATGCAACAATTAGACTTGCGCGTATGACCTGCGCAGATACATTTGATGAATGCCAATTTTATTGTGTGTGTGAGAATTAAAAAAATTATACACTTGAAAAAAGATAGATAGATAGATAGATAGATAGATAGATAGATAGATAGATAGATAGATCACTTTATTAATCCCAGAGGGAAATTCAAAGAGTAGAGTGTGCAAGCAAGAGTATTCAGAATAATAAAAATAAAAAATAATCTAAACATATTCAGTACAAAATTATAAAAGCTCTAAAGATATTTTTACACAAGGTTGATAGAATGAGGCTGCAGGCCTGTTTAAATAGAGTTGGACAATATGGCCTTCAAATAGCATCACACATATTTGGGACATTTTCGGCTTTATTCTGTAGCAATATTTAAAAAACAGTTTAAGAAGATTTAATTTGACCTCAAAACATACAGTATTTATTATGCAGCCTGCTTCAGTAATTCATTCCACTCCTTGCTTTTTCTGTCACATGCTCTGCAATTCACAAATGCTTCAGGTATGCTTGTCTGAGTTGGTTTGGTTTGTAGTTTAATGTTGACTGACAAAGTATTTGGAGTCTGACCTTGTGTAGCCAAACCACTTTCATGCTCCTCGTTTAGGAACTAATTTGTCCTCTGTGTCAGCAGTGAGCCCTCTCTCAGTGAGCCAAACTCTTAGCCATGTTTGTTCTTGTCATGCGTCATGAGCACGAGTGACTTGTGCTTAAGTGCTTACCGGGGTTCTGTCGCAAGCTTTTCCTGCTGGGAAAGCAGGAGCATTTAGAAACATCTATGAGCACAAATCATATAAATAGCTTGTCTAATAGTCTATCCCAAGAATACTGTGCATGAAGTTTGAATACATCCTGGATGGGATGCCAGGCTATCACTGGGTACCATGCACATTCATAACTAGGAGTAATTTAGTGTAGCCTTTGGGAAGTGGGAGGAAACTGGAGCCCCCAGAGGAAAACCCATCATGGGACAGCCATGCACAGAAACTCCAAACGGACTGTAACCCAAGCTCTGGATTGAACTAGGGACCCTGGTGGCAGTGCTACCTCTTACCTCACTGTGCCATGCTGATTAATAAAGTTTAAAATTGCTTTGCTCTTATCTAGAATCAGCTTGTCTACTGTGTTGCATTAGTAGTGGTAATTTGAAAATTACTTCCATCTATTAGCACTTATTAACGTCAGCCGGAATGTTATTTATTCATTGATTCATAACCACTTTATCCTGGTCTTTATCCTGGTCAGGTTCAGGGTGGATCAAAGAGCCTAGCACTAGTCTAGAGAATTCACCCCAAATGGGACACCAGTCCATCACGGTGCACGGTGTGGTAAATTCTAACCTTTCATAATAATATAAGATATTATATTGCCACTCCTAGTTGTTCTGATTGACAGTGAGTGTTGAAGTGTCTAAAAATTGGCTCCAGGACTCTCAACCCTCATCCCACAAGTGTGTGTGGCCTGGACCCAGCCATGCTGGAGGCTTATTTCGAGCTGGTCAGGTGATGTGTTGTAGGCTCGATACTGCAATGGGCATACCCCCCCCACCCCTATCACCCCCCCCACACACACACACACACACACACCCACCCACCCACACACACGCACACTTACACGTACAGACCCAGCATGAACCTAGCTTACTGCTAAATCCTAGGATTATCTGCCCTCCATTTCCACTTTTCCAGTCAATCCTTCACCTGCACCTTACACATACTCTCTGACGCACACACACACATAAACACACATCAGCATGACCACAGATGCTGCTAATAAACACAGAATGTCACACAAATCCAAATGAACAAGCACACAATACAAGCTTTTCACTTTACATTACACACATATATGTACTGTATATACAGTACTCACCACACACACACACACACTTTCTATTAGCAAACACTCCACTGATCATTTGCATATATGTGCCAATATGCAAACATACCCACCCAGTTTAATTAAAGTGTGCAGGAGGTGCTATGCAGCAGATCAATGTGTGTTTGCCCAAGGCACACAAGTGTACATTACTGCTGCAGCAGGGTGAAAGGCCACACAGCGGGTGAGGTGACCTGTTTTTCGGGTTCAGTCTCATTCTTTGACATCAGGTCTGTCCAAAAAATGCACTCACACCATAACTGAAAGTGTCACTAAAGAAAATCCAAACACACACATCATTATGCCTGCTCCTACAACTGACCTTATGCTTACCCACAGTAACTCACTTGTCAATTATTACAAATAAAAACCTTAACTTTTCCTCAGCTAGACCAAAAGTGTGGTGAATGTGGCTGTAACATAGGAAACTACATGATTTCATATCATAATGATGTCAATGCAAGTGAAAAGGAGATAATTCTACATACAGTGGGGTCCAAACATCCAAGGCCACATTAAAAAATTGGGATATAGTTGTTTCACATTTACAGCATTTGGCAGACACCCTTATCCAGAGCAACTTACATTTATCTCATTTATACAACTGAGCAGTTGAGGGTTGCTCAAGGGCCCAGCAGTGGCAGCTTGGCAGTGCTAGGGTTTGAACTTATGACCTTCTGAGCAGTAGTCCTATATCTTGACCACTGAGCTACCACTGCCTTGTTTGCCAGTTAAAACCTGAAATGAACAGAATGTTTTAAAGTTTAGAAGCAAAAAAATTTAAACAAATGGAAATGTTCAACATCTTAAGTTCAAGTGGCTTTTTTGTCATTTCAACCATATACAGTACACAGTGAAAGAAACAGTGTTCCTCCAGGACTGTGGTGCTACATAAACAACTCACAGCTACATGAAACTACACAGAATTAAATATTCAATATTCAAGAATCTGCACTATTTCTAGGTCACTCTTTAAATTTAAGCAAATGTATGATATTGACTACAATATGTTAACTCCTACATAGAAAGTCAGATTTCCTTCCTTTTAAAGCACATATTCACATGACATTTCGATGGATTTGATCTAACACGGATCACCTGGTTTTATACAAACTTATGGAGTTTGTGCCTGCTGCAGTGCACACTGTCATTAAAGTAAGATTCTACTTTTCACTCCAGTTATTGCTGATAATATAATTTGTAATTAAATTAGAAAGGAATACAAAATAGAAGCTTTTTCACTAGTGGCCTAGTGGCTAGTGGCTTTTGAACCCCACTGTACACACACAGTGAGCTAACCAGAGCTTACGAACGTGTCTGACATTACTCATCAGCACACACAAATCTTATCTGTTCTGCTACTTCCCCTATTAAAACAGGTTTTTGGAGTTCAAAGTGTCAGGTGGTCATTATACTTTATCAACTTGTGGTTTCGCCTTACTTTGTCATAGAAACAACAGATACCGTCCTTAGATTGTCATGAGCTGTAATCTTTGTGACCTCGAGGAGAGATTTTATAGGAGACGTGGTATTAATGTTTGTATTTTTGTAGTCAATTTTTTTTTCTTCTGATTAAATACCATATACCTGACAAGTTTAGAGTTTGCTAAGGAGTAGCATATAGTCCTGAACCACTACTGTACTTCTCTACCAGTGCTTGGCAGTCATACCTAATAAACGTTTGCAGCCATGATGTCATCTGCCTACACTGACAAGCATCTTGTCTTCATGCAGGCTCCCAGCTCTGAAAGAACATAGAACAAATAACGCAACTACTGGTCGAGCATCAAAAAAAAAAAAGAGAGAAAAAAAAAGATTGCGATCTCTACTTACAATCAGAATGACTTCATGCTGTTCCAGCTTGTCTGTCAGGCTAAATGTGAAATTGTATTGTAACCAGAAGCAGAGAGAGAGAGAGGGAGAGAGAGAGGGGAAAGGGGAGGTTTACAATGAGATAAATTTGATCGTATAATCAGATGTTTTTATGACGTACTGATAAGCCGCCATCTGGACTCTAAATCAGAAGATATGGTGATGTCTGTGGATGAATTTTGTTGTACGTGTGAGCCAGCAACATTGTAACTTGGCAATAACCAGAAGAGGCGAGTTTGGCAAGAGTTGTCAGACTATAGTTTACAGCCATTAGTGTCCCATTATGCCTGTTGCAGTTAACAAAAGGAGCAGCCTGTGGCAGTAGACACAGATAGATAGGCTGAGCTTCTGACCTTTTGCCCTCAGACTCTATAACAATTGCATTTTATATCACCTCCAGGTGGCTCACAGAGCATAGATGCACTCCTGGAGTGTCCTTGTGAGCCCTCTGAGTGTGCTGTGCTGTTGAAGATTTACTCACATTGACGATTACTAACGATTGCATGACTTATTGCTGTAAAGCCTACGGGGTATTTTGGCGACCAAACATTGATGAATGCGACAACAATATTAAATTATGAATTCTGCCAAAACACTAAGGCTTGAAGCCATTACACAGAGCCTGCTTAACTGATGGATAATGAATTCATACTATGACAAACCTGCAGTACTCTATGGCAACATGCACAACAAATCCAAAAAATCATATTCAGCCATAAGATGCTATTTCTAATATTGATCTAAGTTTGATTTTTATGATTTTGGAAGCATACAAAAAAAAAAAAAAAAAAAAGAAGACAGGTTATGATATTCAGTTAAAGATGGGGTGTCATAGATAGTGCATTATTTTTTAATGTGGGCTGCTAGAATTTTCAGAATGTTGTATTGACATGAGAAAGTATGTCAATACAGCATTCTGAAAATTCTGCACCCTGTAATTGGCCAAACGGAATTTGCCACATATTTTTTTAATTATCTTTTTTTTTACCATGTGCCAAATTGGGTGGGTCCAATAACAGCATTTTATCATCCAGACTTTTTAATATTAAGGCAGTCCTCACCATTTTCAGGGATATTCAGATTAAGAAGATATTAATACATTACAACAAATAGAATTATTTGTCACTGTAATGTGAAAAGTTTTTGGACATACTTGTACAGTTAATAAACAAATCTGGAATTTCCCCTCCATGGTTACCTACTTTGTCACGCAAGTCAACTTTGAAATAGGCCTATATGCAATGCCAAAAGAATGCAGTGAAATAGTCCCTTTCTGTAATAATGCTTTCAGCTTTAGGAATTTAGAAGCAAATAGTAAGACCGAGTAGGCAAAAATACCTCATGGAAAAGTACGCTGCAAACAGACTACACCTCATCTCCCTGGATGTCCATATATCTAACAAACTGTAGAGTTTAATAAAATCACGCATGTCACAAATATATTCCAGAATCAAGCAGTTTGGGATAGTGCATTATTTTTGTGTCTCTGAAATAGAGCTTATGATTGTTGAATATGCCTCACTAAGGTAGTGTCCATACTGGAAAGTTCTGATCTCTGAATGGCACTACATTGGATGGCTGTGGCGTAGCTGGGGTTTCGAATGCATGATAGTATGATGATAGTGCGAATACTTTTCATCCCTACATTGCATTTCGAAGAAACATGATATCTTGAAGAAACTAGTGTCACTATTGGTCCAAACAACAGCTGAACACTGACCAACTGTGTTACCTAAAACTAAAAAAAAGCAGTAATGTGCTTCAGTAGACTTTTAACAGGCTCATATTGTGCACCGAGGGCATGATAATGAATGGTGGTGTGGTAACAGAGTAATGAAAATGGTGTGTGGTGGGTAGTAAGGGTGTATGTATTTTTCCTTGAGCCTCTGCCTCTCCTAAACTGTGCAGTCGTCTGGGTGGCAGCGTAGGGCAGTGGTCACCCTATTTTGATTTATGGTGCTTAATTGGCTACAGAAAATGCAAAGGAGTGTGCTCTGTTCATGCCATGCGAACAAAGATGGCTGCCAAGTGCCTGGGCATGTCTGAGCAGGGAGTTTTGCTCTGGGCTTTTGAGCTTTCTGTGAAGGTTTGTGAAAGAGCCTGGGTCCAACTAATCACAGGCATTATTCCCAGGTAATCACTCTGCCTCAAAGACTTGTGGGTAAGAACAGTGATAGTGGCTTTGGAAACAATGATGTAATGGGGCAGAGGGAGAGGAAATCTAAAGCTGCCTGCTTGGGTTTGAGTAAGAGGCGATAAGTAAGACGACAGAGTCATCAGAAATGGCAAAGTGACAGGAGTGAGGTGAAACTGGCCCCTTTAAGGATTGTAATTGTGCGTGTCAGACAGCATGCTTCAGAAGATATCTTCTTTTGAGCCTTCGTAAAGGCGCATATTTCTTGCATATTTCTTTTCTTCCTTCTTCTCCTCATTTTTTTCCCCCATCATGGGCCCCTTTTGCTACCTCTAAGCAGGCACGTAGCCACCCACCTGCCCGCGTGTGCAGCCACCCTCTTCACGTCCTTCCTGCACAGCCTGCTGGCATTCATCCAAGAGCCTGCAAACAGACTGGCCCAAACCTTAACACACACAAACGTTTCATTTAGATGCATTTAGACGCATGGCTACTACGTACATGGACGGCACCCTTGTGGCCAAGTCCAGGTTGTTGGCCAATGGAAAAAGGTGAGCACCACTGATCAAATCTTACTGTAAACCAGCAGAAGAGTCAACGCAGTTGCTATACTGCATTTCTGGAATCACTCTTTCATGTGTCTGTAATAAAACTAATGTATCCATGTATTAAGCTGAAACAGCTGGAAATAACATTTAAATAAAATGGAGTTGAGTGCTTGAAATGAAAAGCACCCCTTTTGTAGTATTTGTAAAATGTTCTGTTACATGCACTTACTGACTTATGCAAATGATTTTTGATTTTTTTTTATTTTTGCAAATCATAGATAAAGTTTATTTCATGAGTAAAAATGTTAATGTTACAACAGAGCCAAAGTTGATTTGCCATTGATCACATAAGGCACACAAGTTTTTTTTTTTTTTTTCTTTTCTGAATATACACATAGAGAATACATTTGGTGGAAAGTTGGCTTCGCTGCTTTGCACTGACTGGGGTCATGTATCCATCTATATACAAAGTGGATTTAGTTATAAGACAGATCTCTCAAATTTGGGTGAATGGAAAATGAAGATTAATAGCTTTGAAAAGCCTGCTTGGTTTCTCTCCCCTAATCTTTTGTTTACTGACTAACTGGTTGGCAGGGAACGTTGTGCAATTTTCTTTGCATGAAGCTTACAGCAGCTTCCATGAAATAACAACACAAGCCTGCTGCTTTTCTTTTATGGAGTGTGCACTGAATCAAAACGAGGATACGATGTTTTTGAAGGCGTGGCAGATGGGTAATGTCAGCTATCTTTTTTAGGGTGAAAAAAAATCTATTTCGGCGCTCCTTAGGTAGGCCTGGTGTTTACAGACTAGGCGCTAGCACCTGGTACAAGTTAGCATGCTTGACTACTGGAAAACACACACTCCCTGAGAAAGATTCTTAAGCAGGCTTCAGTGTAGCCACACACATTCATTCAGTGCCTCTAGTTATGTGAGAAGGGTCTACCTTCTTTTGGATCCCTTGTTTACATGATTCCTTTGCTATTTATCACTTGTTGATACCTCGGGAATCTTTAACCATTCAATATCTAGTCTTTGAGGCCCTATAATTGTGACAATCCTCAGTAGATGCCCATGTTATCTGTCCAAATGGATGTCTCTCTTTCTCCATCAGACAACCACAACCACTTGAATCTGACCCAGGGCCCACCTACTTGGTCAATCCCCT